CTCAGTGCACACAGCCCAGTGCATCTTGGTGTGTGTGTGTGTGTGTGTCTGGATTTACCTTAACACAGCTCCGTGAACAGCTTCCATAACAATTTATGCCTTGTGCCGTCAGGAATGTGATGGTGTTTGTGCGGAATATTTCTCAGGAAGAGCCCCTCACACATGGCAGAACCTATATTTGAGTTATCTTTAAGAAGACGCGCCCTGTGCTGGGGCGTGAGTGTCAAAGTCGATCGGATCTGTTTCTGGAAGAGAGTAAAACACATTTTTTTGTGGGGGAAATTAAATCTTTAACCGTTAAATATCAGAATCCAGTGCTGCCATATCAAGTCACAAACAAAAAAAGTATGAAAATTCATACATCTGTAGGAACTTCTGAGTATTTTTGGAAAGCCAAGAGGAGCGTCATGAAAGGCTACTAAGAATTTTTACACTAAACGATTTTGGTTGATTTTGGCATTTTGCTTTTCTTTAAAGACGAATACAAATAAGTGTGTGTGTCGTAGAACTCATATGAAATATTTGTATTGAATTCCAACACTGGAGAGTAGAAAAGAGAGCAGTTCATTCCTGCTTGTTTATGTCTTTTGAATCTAATCAGTACATAGTTTATTACTATCTAATACTATGAAATAACTACGTGTTTTTCCTTTTCCCTGTTTGGGATTAGGCCTTATTAATCAGGTATCAGTCGGATTCAGTTTTACCTCTGATCAAAGGGTAAAAACGATACCGAAAAGCCTCAACTCTAAAAACTAATTTGTATAGTATAAGAATAGATGGAAAAAAATCCAATTTACATGTTTTTTTAGTTCATTTTTACAAGTGTTTTCTGTACATTTTAACATAAACCTGCATGGAAAAAGGATTTTTTTTTATGAAGCAGGTCTTTGTGAACATGGTTTTGATTCTATGATGACGCAATAGGTCTCATAAATCTGTATGTCCCTAATAAAGAGGTAATATTAAGGGCGTCCTTCATACGATACAGACCTGTGAGGACGTGGACATGGAAGTCCTTGTTGCTGATCATTGTAACTGCCAGGTTAATAGCATACAATTCAAATGTAAACGATAGATGCACAAAAAGCAAAGACTAGAGTAAAAGAGAATGCCTCTCTCATATTTGTATCTTCATGGGCTGGAGGCTGAGCCTCCATTGTCAGCCTGATACGCTGCCAGTTGAATGCTAAGACGGCTGCATTCAAAAGAACCTGTAAATGATTCAGAAATAAAAAACTCTGAATGTGCTTATTAGGAAATACTGCAAACAATTGTACTCTATGAGATGTTGGGAAGTTGTCCTTATATTTGCTAAAAAAAAAGGGCTGTCTGCTTTGGTTTTTCTAATGAACTGCCCCTCAAATGTGAGAAAAAGAAAAGCTTCTGTGAAAACCGTCTTTTCATTGGTTTCATTTAAAAATATATATATATTTTCAAAACGCTTTAATGGCCTCCAATGTGAAGTTGAACAAAATTTAAATAGGTGGTAAATGTAGTTCTTTCATGGGTTTGGATGGCCTCAAACGAGAATTGAATCCATTTGTAAAAAATTCCTCATGTGCACTTTAATGTGGAGAAGATGCATTTAGTGTTCAAAAATGAAAAGCCGGTTAGAGTCAAAGCTTTGCCTGAGTGATAAAAACGAAAGCCGCTGTAATGTTCTGTGTGTGATGTCAGCCAGGCCTCCCTTCAGGGCTTCTTATCCGGAGGGCTGTGGTTTGCATGTCGGCATTCAGGTGCAAACGGGAGCACACGGGCTCCTCGTCGGTTTAGAAGCGAGTTCCTACAGCCGCGCAGTAACCCACTGAGTTCTACCCATTCGAATGCCTTCAGTTGTCCTGAGATCTGGACCGGGCCTTTGCCACCGGGGCCACAAAATGACGGAACCAGCTGCTCCTTCACGTCTGGAAGGCTTCAACGCAGAATACACCCATTTCTTGGCTTGTGATGCCTTACGAGAGTTCAGATTGGCCACAGTTGTGTAGTTTCTATTCATCCATTTGACTTTTTTTGTCTTTTCTATTAAATGTTCTGATGCAATGGTTATTTTTAATGTGTTGGTCAACAGACAGTAGCTTTTGAATATGCTTTATAGAGAAATGAGCTGGTTTCGATTTGCTCCTTTATGCTTTCCATACAAGTCCTTTGTCTTCTTTCCCCTCAAAGCACAGAATAAGCTCTGAAGATTTTAGCCATTAGAGGCATCTGCTAATCCACAAATTGCATTGCAGGTTTGAACAGATGCGTCGGCTGCGCTCTACCTGTGGGAGCTTGAAGACAAAAAGGGAGGGCAGTTGTCGGGGGATTCCACCACGTGAGGAAAGGAAAGTTCTAAAAAAGACCCCCTTCCTTTTATTCAAACGTCACGAATACCAACAAAATAATCACTGCAACACTTTGAAATTACAACATTACCTTCAATAATCTTTTCTTTTGGCCATTGAGGCAGTGTGTGTGCGCGTTTGTGTGTTTGTGAGTGTGTTTGTGTGCGCGCGTGTGTGTTTGTGTACGCATGTGGCAGGGGGCTTCTTATTGCCTTGCTCAAAGGTAGCTCAACTGAACAGCTTAAGAGCTCCTCATCCACTCTCTCCACCCACATTCTTTGAGCGGGGAACTGAACCTGCCAACTCTCTAATCATAAACCTTCTTTTCTAACCTCTGGGCCAGCAGCACTCCTTGACTTGACATTCAGAAATTGGCCATGCTGCCTCACCAACAGATAAGAATGCAGCAGACATTAAAGTCAGACATTAAAAGTGCATTACTTTCCACATGAGATCAAAGCCGTTATAACTTGTGAAAAGCCCAAAATGCTACGAGGTTACATACACAGATAAGAGATATCCCGTCAAGGCATGTATGGCGAGGCTGGAAAGCCCTCCACTCCCCCTGCGGTTGTTCGAGCAAGCTGCTTACCAGTCTTGTATTTATTCCATACCAAGGGGATGCATACCAAACACAGCCCCAGACCTGGCCTGGATTAGGTCTGCGCCGCTTGTCAGATTGCTGCTTCCTAGGTCAGAGAACCAGAGGCACATTTCTACCCTGGGGGGCCAGAGGTTGGGAGCTAAAGCTAAAACCATGGCAAATAAACTCCATGTGCATCAAAACAGGTCACACTGCCTACTTAAATGTCTGTCATTAGCCTTCCTGCAGGGAAGTGTACATGGGGCCTGAGTACTTGAGCGGCTTTGGGAAAGAAATTACACATTCCATTACATTATCTTAATGTGATGAAGCAGAGAGAAAACGCAGTTGGTGTGCAAAGTTGCACCCTTCAGTTTAGTGACTGAGACTGAGATGTGTTCTGCAGATGCATTATGATTGAGCAAGGGCACATCCTCATTTGAAAGCGTTACCTACCAGTGTAGCTCAGTCTAATGACAAAATCCCTGAAAGAATAGAGGTGAGCATCATTTTGAGATGTCTATGCTTCTAACTATAAAAAGACAAGCGGCAAATAGATTCTTGAAAAAGCTCACAGTTGTGTCTTAAATGGCTTGGAGAAATAAACAGGAGAAAATTGCTTTGTGTTATTTACAGTATTGAAGAGGCAGTTTCATGTTAGCTCTTTAAGTACAGATGTGATGCCACTGGCATTAAAACAAACCTCAAAAGTGCAAGGAAGAAGACAACATGCTGATAGGCTGCAAACTTCCAAGATTTTGCTATGCAATTAGCCGCAACCAATGGAACATTTTTCCTGGATAAACGTATTTCTGTATTAGTCCTAAACGGAATTGATGCGGCTAACTGGGGCTCCACCTGTGGGACAAAAAAGATAATCATGTTTCAGCTTTTTTCCCCCATACATAACATAACACAGATTGCCACAGGCTGTGGTAATTGTTTTAATACCTTTCATTAACGGGCATCAGGGGGAAAACGCTAATAAGGTTTAAGCTAACAGAAAGCACAGCGAAGCCGGAAAAGCAAAAACTGAACCTGAACGACCAAAGAACAGCTACATAAAAACCAGGTAAAACTAGAGGACACCGAAACAAAGTTTGGAAGTATGTATGGAAACATTAGTTTTATCATAGGAATCCACCAAAGCTTCACTCCACAGTCTCCGCAGAGAGGAGGGACAGAAGATCGTGACTGCATTATGTTTTCATTCTTTTAAAGCAGAAACTTTACAGCAAAGCAGTTGCAAAAAAAAAAAACACAGCTGCACATTTTTAGCTAGCAACTCCAAATCAAAAGAAGTAAAAAAAAAAGGTGCATTGGGCTAAGAATCTCATCACCTATGAGTTTTTGTTCCCTTTGGGCACTTGGTTTACTTTTGTGTTCGATTTGCTTGCTTCCTGAATCCTGATTCATTTACGTTTCCTCCTTGGCTAACTGCCTCACCTGCTGCATATTTGCCCTCAGAGCACATTCTGCTTGATTCTCAGTGCACCGGTTCATTTTTCTTTCATGTCAGTCACGTGGAGCCACCAGTTAACCTGTTTAACCAGGACTATGGGAGTAGCAAAGCTTTGAATCGGGACCCGTCTTTGTGTGAGCCAGTAGTGCTAACCACCACACCACAGTGCAGCCAACCTACTAAACCTAGCTAAGCCAAACCCAGATGTGGTTGGAATCCCCCTCTCACCTAATGACAGATGGGATCAGCTCCAGCCGCCCCGTGACCCGACGGAACAAGCGGCTATAGAAACTGGATCGAGGTGGAAGAGAAAGTAAAATGGCCACCTGTCTTCGACTCAGGTGAATGAATCAATTACTTCTCTTACCTGAGACAATTACGGTGAATGTATGCATCTGTAGGCCTGTAAAAGTTAAAACTGCCCTAACCCTAACTCAGTGAAATTGACTGTAAACCTACGGTGGCTGAGAAGTGCAAAACACATTTACAATTTAAAAAACACCTTATGATTTAAAAAAGCTAAATAAAATTTTAGGATACACATTTAAAGTTCAGAAAACACATTTACATTTAAAGAAACATAACATTTTAAGAAACAATTTTTTTCAAAAATGTTTG